CCATCTACTGTGCCAAATGATGGCACATAATTTTCCGAAGTCCTGCCTCAGGAGTAGTACCACTGATATTAATGATACACGGAAAGAATAGAAAGCCACCGCACAGAGCAAATGTATCTTCTGAATGCTGCTGAAGCTTTGGAAATGTGATGCATTTTTCTGATCATCTCTAGCTAAACTTTCTCCTTGTTTGTTTTTACACAAGTTTCTTAGATAATTTTAGAGGTTTTTTCCCCCACTGTTTAGATTTTCTTCAGTCCACTTCATTCAGAATTATAACAAGGAGACATGAGATTACAGGAGACCTCACGACAGATTTATGTATTACACATGGTTAAAAAAAAACCCCTGTCAGCAACTAACTATACAATTCACTAAAATTTGGTATTTTTTTAAGAGTAAAAATCTTAAATAGAAAGCACGATTCACTAAAGATTTACTAAACTACATTACTTATTAATCTAAGTTTTTCCAGTCAATGCATACTATTTTAAAACAAGAAGTTTAGCAAAAATCTCTTGGTACACTAGACATAATAGCTTGGTATTTTTCCTTGGGTCCTTTTGTTACCTTTTGGCTTATACTTCCTAATTTTTTGAAGGTTTTTCAAAACTTTCAGACAGGACAAGATCCTCAAAATGTTAGGTAAAAGCACTCTTGGACCCTTGTGCTCTTTCTAAGAGGATATATGGAACAGATTTTGAAGAGGGTTAAACAAATGAATTAATGAACTTTATAATACTAATACCAGCTATAAAAAACCTACTTCTGATCACCTTTTTTGTTTTCAAGAGTTTTGAAATGATTTCCCTAAGAACCTCAATGGATTAAAAACCAAAAATAAACCCATTATCATATTCTTTTTTAATGTACATCTTGTGCTCTCTTGAAAAACGCTGGGCTAACAGCATTAAAGATTGATGCTCTTTAAACAGAAAATGGATATGCCCCTGGTGCCAGCCACATTGAAGCCTCCCAATACTGCCTTCCTAAAATGCTCCATCCCCAATCTGTCTGCGTAGGTTAAAAGTGTCACACTCACTCAGTCCCCTGCAGAAGCTATCAGTAAAAATGCAAATGAATTCTGATTATGATGACTTTTTTTTTTTTTTTAACAAAGGTGACATCCACTCTTACAGAGGTGCAACCCATCAAATCAATTTGGTTAAGCTATTTATATATGTTTCTTCTATGATCTCTGTGGCATCCAATTTCACTGAGTTCATGGAGACATTGATGCCTGGTAAATTGCCAGTAATCAAAGGTTGTTAAGTGCTTGTCAGCTTCCTTTCAAGCTTAGTCTATCTTTATCATGAAGAAGACCTAGTTCAGCAGCTAGACCATTTATTCGTAAACTTATAACACCCAGGAAGTATGCATTATATCATTAAAATATCCATACTGTTGCAGAAACATTTGTTCTAAAGCCACCTCATTTTTCTGAAATAAACTGTGCCCAAAGTGAAGTCTTGTCATGCCCCTGCAACAAGGCTGCTCTCCAACATGTGAAATGCTTTGTTTCCCTGCTCCTCCATTCTCGTTTAAGCCCTCTCCTCCAAGGCTTCTGTTTAGTTTAGATTCTGGAATAGATGCAGGGAAACACATGTGATTTTAGAGTTTGAGTTGCACTTGGTGTTTATTCCAGTTTTTCCAGTTGCTCTCTCCTGTAGTAGTTTGCTGGCCACAAAAAAAAAAAAAAGAGTCAGATAACCTTAAATGGAAAAAGTTTAGGGTAGGTGCTGATGAACTCTTAAGATACAAAAATCTGCTTTTCAGGCATGCTGATTAAAGCCCTCAGTCATAAAGTAATTAATTGAAAAAAACTGAAGCAAGTCTTCAGTTGGGCCAGATTAGTATAGCTCCACTGAAATGATGAGCTCCCATCAGTTAATGCTACCTGTGCACTAGATTCAAAATATGTTCAGAACTATCTGGTATTTAAAAAAAAATTCTGTGAAGAAACTTCATAGTCTTTTGAAGAAATGCATATTAAAGCCTGTCCATCCTATCAAGTTGTTCAGATGTTTGTTGGGTGGAAAAGATATGGTTGTAGGAAGACAAAGAAATTCTGAATGTTAAATTAGTCACAAAATACTGTTATCAGTGGAAAGCTTTGGAGAATGCTGAAGACAGAATTTAACTGAGAGGTAGGGGTGATCATTTATTACTAATAAAACTTGCTGTTGAAGGAGCCCTGTGCTTAGCAAGTCATAACCATTTTGCAAATCCATCATCCCAAACGTTACAGGAGCACAGCTCTGAAGCACTGTCCTTAGGGCCACCTTCTACCCACAGGAGGAGGATTACAGTTGTCTGTGGTGAAGCTGCATGCTAGCTTTTTTTGTCTCAGTTTTTAAAAAAAGAGTAATTTGCTTAAGCTGAGAACAGTGAGATAACTGTCTTCACTATCAGTCTAATGTGTCTATCATTTTTTTCTGTGCAGTTCTGGTTACACTAAATATTTGAAAGATCAGCCCATGAAGCGAAAACAAACCTCTCTCCTTCAGCTACCTCTTTCCACTGGTCACATATACATATGTACATATACAGACACACATATATGTGTGTGCATGTGCGTGTTTCTATGCTGCACTGTGGCAAGTTCTTACTGAACCTTCCTCAAGATACGACCTTCATTTAACCTTTATATTTCCAGACTGATCAACAGTTGCTCACTGCTGACCCACAACAAACTCCAATATATTTTTATTATATTTTGTCTATAAAACCTGAAAACATTATGTAGATCATATTTTTTCCCCCAGAACATCTGAATATTAGTTATGTGGATTGTTTTCTGACAAGGACTGCTAGAGCTTACTATTCGTGTCCAGCTACGAGTGAGGGGAAGGTTTCCTTTGCCAGTGCCAAGATGCTGCGCAATATTACTCAATGAGGGTTGTAAAAGGCATAGAAGTTCTTTGCCCCAATGGCTGCCTAGTTCCCATTAGACATTTCAGAATCAGACCACTGAGATGCAGTCAGACGCTGAATGATATAACCCTACCAATCTGTGCATAACATAAACTGCTTAGCTGGTTTAGCAATTCTCCTTTGCCTCTCTATTTTGGGCATACAGTGTTGCTTCCAGGACTTTGACAGTTTGGGGCCAGTTACAATCAGCAGCTTGAGGGCTGCATTTACATTTTAGGCAGCCATTTTCTTCTTTTTCCAAACCCTCTTTCCTCATGTTCAGGCTGCAAATAAATGATGCTGCACCTGGGAAGGCTGACAGGCTGCAGTGGCTAGTCTGGTTCTGTGTACTGATAGCTAAACAAATCTGAAGTATCCTCATACAGTAGCCTTACTGCTTCCGTTCCTGAGTGCACCATATCTTCAAGTTAAATTTAAACACTACCTAAACAAGCTCACTTATTTTAAAATCATAAAATGAGAAGTCTAACTCTATAGACACATTTCTTTCGGAGTATTTGAAAGATCTCTTTGCTAACTTGCAGCAATTGCTCAGTGTATGGATGCATTTTACAATTTTCCAAGTGCATGCATCCTGAGTGCTACAGGATCTCATTCCCCTCCTAAAATGTTCCTATAACCTATAATTTTGGGTCTTACTCTACAGCTACAAGGTGTTGCCATAAAATGGCACATAGTTAGTGGCACTAGAACCATCCTCTGGATGCAATCAATGCTCTTTGTGCATAAACACAGCTTAAGGAGCAATAAACAAAACACAGTCACCCTACTCCCTCAAAACAGGGTAGATTGCACATCAGTATTTTGGTTAGTCAGCCACCTCTCCAGCAATCAGAATAAGCAACTTAATTACATGTGATATTTTTGGAACCTGAAAGCACAGTTACAGCCACCTCTTAAAGGATGTGATCTATCTGCATTTATGGTGCTTTCATCTGTAAATTCATCTCTCAAGTAAAAGCAGGCCATGTACTTACTTGCTATAAATTTATACTTGCTCTTACCTTGAAAAATCCCAAACCTATCAATTATGTTCCACACATCAGTATTAACTGATCTCTGCTGAGAAGAACCATAGGCCACCCAAACAAGTTTTAGAGGCCTCTCATGCCAACAGCCTGATGGGTCTGAGGGACACCACGGGCCATAATGATCATCAGTGTGACAGAAGTCTGTCTTACCCTGAATTGTGCCTGTGCCTAAAGTACCAAAATACTGTAACATTTAACTTGTTCGCCCTTCTTGTTTCCTCCGTCATGTGAGATCTACAATACCATTCACTTGCTGACTCTGGAAAGTTCATGTGATTCCCATCACAGATTTCAAAAACTCTGAAACCACCCAACTAGTTTCATGTCAATTTTTCTTTCCACTCCTATCTGTCAAGAGCACTGTAAGATCTCTGCAAGATCTTTTAAGCTGCACTGCAGGGAGTCAACACGCTTTTAGGTCATGGCAGTGTACCAACGTTAATTTGACTAACCTAGTTCAGCATGCAGTATGCAATTATTTCCTAGTCTCCTGATGTGTTTTTTTTCCCAGCCTATTTTCAGTTTAATTTATATTTTGGTAAGGATTCTACCTTTAGAAAAGATAGCTAGTCCACAAGCCTTCCATTATGCTGCAGCTGCTGCTGTTATATTTGTCACTAAAAAAAAAACTCACCTTGTATGACAATGGGATTTGAATCACAATTGCTAAATATATCTTGTATAGAAATTTGATTGCTTTACTTTTTTTCCTGAAGGGGGGAAATGTGATGGCAAAACCTTACAGTTTATTTCATGCTTCACTACAGTGTAATTCTAGACCCTAAGATTTCTACCATTCCTATTTTGGTAATGAGTGGAATGTAAAAGGGAGGTATTTAAAAGTAATTGCAGCAGTTCTGAGGGTTAAACCTGCTTAACCCAACCTTTTATTAAGAGAATGTCAACAGAGCATATATCTTGTCTAGGGAGTGCTGGGACATTATTCTTCTACCAGCATGTTTACTTCTAAAACCTGGGATTTCTTCAGGTTCCTGTAGCCGTCATGCACACCATATACCCATCCCAAATTATAGTGTCTGTTCTGAGCTACTCACTACAGCAGGATTTGACCTGAGAAACTCTAGAGTTTTGTTTTACTTTATTAACTTGGAGTACTTTTAAACAGTTTTTAAACAAAGTTTTTCCCTTGACCAGCAAGGGAATTTTCAGCCTGAAGTTCTCAGCAGCATCCGGTGAGGCTCTTGGCCAAGTTCTTCAGATACTGTACATCCACAAGGACAGCCTGCTGGCTCTTGCTGTGGCATTTTCTTAATCCTCAGAACAGATTTCCTGGATCTAGGAAACTTAATTCCTGACTCCTTCGACCCAGATGCTGGCAAAAATGTAGTCTGCAGTCTGTACGTAATAAGGTGTGTTCATTTTTTCTTTTTTTTTTCTTTCTAGGAACTGGCCTTGCTGTTAAATTTTTCTAAAACAGTCATATTAGTATGTTCAAAAATCCACTGTTGAGTTTCAGATAAAGGATCACATCTGTTCATGAAAATCTTCTTCTCTGCTGGGTTGCAATCTATGCAGCTGCTGCTTACTGGATGGAACAAAGTTTTGTCCTACAGGAATAAAAAAAAATAGAATTAAGAAGCAAATGCCAAGTCATTGGAAGAGTTCTCATTTTACAGAACATAGATTAACACAGCCCTATCTGAAATGATTTTGTGGTCTCTGCACGCTAACCTTGTGTAATAACCACAGCTATTATTAGGAAGCTGTAAAGAATGGAGTCTTCTTTTCCCTTGGGTTATTATCCTTCATGAAATTGGGGATTCAATAAAGAATGAGGAGACATCTTCTGGTCTTCAACTAACAACCACGTAATATAATGAAAAAATAGAATGTCTTTTAATCTTTGCATGTCATGTGCTTGCCTGAAGCCCATTTAAACGTCTGAACCTGAGAAGCGGAGGTTTTTTTGTTTGGATCTGGTTTTGACAGTTTCTATCGTGCTTCTGGGCAGGAGGGTCTGTAACAACCTGTCTGGAAAATGGATACTCTTCAACTTGATGGAAGTGTTAATAATTCATTTTTAACTGAAGTGGTGTGATGGACAGACAGACACAGGACTGATGATCTCAGTTCTCACCCCATGAAACGCTGACTTTGCCTATGGCCTCAATAAGACCAGCCACTGAGATACACTCTCTCTCCTAATAAGAAGGAAATCCTAACACAGTTTTAGCTCCCTATGGAGATTTTGGGAGGATAAGCACGGATTAAGTTGCTTTAAAAAGGATATTTATTATGATTAGTTTTATTAATTTTACTTCACAAAACTAGAGTGAATTGTAAGTAACCTGACTGTGAATCTTTGGTAAAGTGGAAACTACCCAGACAAGCAACTGGTATGTGCAGTTTGGGTAGTTTCAACGTACTTCGTTCACGTAGGCAAGTGTTTGAGAGAGACAGATGTGGGAGTGATTAGATGGTTTGAAAGTTTCCAAGGATTATACATTTACTGTATGTGTTGAAATAAATTTCAGATTACTCTTGGTAAGCCACATCCAGGCTTTTCCCCTCTATGCCAAACATGCCCTGCCAGTATTTTAATACTAATCCAGGATGTGCCTGCTTGCCCAGTTTGTGTGTGTGTGTGGGAAGCTACTTGTCAAATTGCAATTGATTAAAAACTCAGAAAAAATGCTCTGTGTGCTGAGCAACAACCATACAGAAACTTCTCTTTAACTAAAAGTACCCCACATTCAAAAAAGAAGCATAAAGACAAAAATAACACAATAAACCGATAAGAACCAGCAGCTATTTAAAAACACTTTTGAAAAAGAAAGTGGTTTTTTTTGGTTTTTTTTTTTAAATTTAGGAAAGATGAAATTGATTGATTTTGGGGGTTGTGAAACACTGGTAAAGTACAATGCCCTTTTTTTTATATTAACATATGCAACAAAGAGCAAAGTCAAAGGCATCTCGTGCTCTGGCTGAGGGCGATGGTGTTACATCTGCCTTTCACAAACACTGGTTTTCATCTCCAGCATCTGCCCTTCCCCAAAAACAGTGGGTAAACACATGCACTCACAAGACTGTAATTCAGAGGGATGCTGTCAAAGCCAACAGGACTAAACCGAATGGGTAGAGGCCTTTCCGTCGTGTTCTGTTTTGCTCTATGAGGTGAGCAGGTAGGATACTTCAGCTTGCAAGAAGGGGCTAACTGTACCGTGTACAAAGGGCTGTCGTGTCCCGACGAGGAGGTGGGCCTGCCAGAACTCCCAAGCACCCGATGGGGTGGTGCAGGCACCCATTTGCAGCTTGCCAGCTCCTCCTGCCCTTCTGTGAGAGATTGATGGAGCGGCACTGCCCAAAATCAGGACACAGTGACTGCCACGGCCACCCTGCCTGCTGTGGGACCTTGGAGGAAGGTGGCATCTGGTTTTCCTTGCATTATAGCTGGGCATGAGGGTCAGCCAAGCTATTAGGAAGCTGAAGCTGGAACACTAGAAGCTTTAATAGGATAGCTGGTACAAGAAGAAAGGAAATGGCTTCAGTACAAAAAGTGTGCTATGAAAAACACTCCAGCCTTTCCGAAGAAAGCTGGCGGTCTTTCTTCTCACAATAATCCAGGGGATGCAATTTTTGAGTGAAGCATTGTTGGTGCTTTCTTTTAGAAAGTCTGGTTATTAGGACAGAAGAGCATCTTAGAAGAACTGGGACACAGTTACCACTCTGGAAAAACTTCTGGCTGCCTTAGCTATATACAAAGGCCCATTAATTTATCATCTCAAGCTTATGCTGACCTAAGGTCAAAGCCTGCTGCTCTTACAGATTTCAGTGGCCACAGGCTCAGGACTTTAAGGGGTAACAGTTGCGTGCATCCCAGAGAAGAACTTTCCAAGAGAAATATATAAATTCCTATTCACACCAATACTAGAAAACCACAAGAGCTCTTCTGGAGACACTTCTAACATCTGAAAACAGCAGAGTGATTTTTTTTTTTTTGCTTCTGCATGAAGGCAAGTCTGAAGATTATTTGCAGAAGGAGAAACTTCTTCATAAGATAATGGGCCTCAACAGTTCAGGGGGTTGGTAATGAAACACAGAGCCTTTCATTTCTTCTAGGTTACTGCTGTAACTATGGCCAAGGTCAATAGCAACTGGAAGTCATTATCAGCTGGTGGCTGCGGTAGTTTATCTGAAATTAGTTGGTAGCCCCAGTGCAGTTTCAGCAGGACAGATGTCCACATGGTAAAAGCCACCATCACAGTGACATGTCTTCGGTTGTCTGAGGAAACAATCTATGCACCTACTGTGTGCAGAGTGAACTTACTCTTACCAGTTTGTCCCTGAAGCTGTCAGGAGAGTATGAGCAAACCATGCTGTTCTGGGCACAGTTTTTGACGTTGTCAGTCTAGCGTCTATCATAATCACTACGCTTAGGGTAGAATTATCGTACAATGAAATTGATTTTGCACAATTGTTTCTTTTTAAAGACCTACTAAATCAGCCCTCTCTTGGATACTTGTGCTCTACAAATAGCACTAATGGGACTAAGGCACATAAACTGAATCATACTTTATCAGAACTGATGTATTACCTGTCAACACAGAATGATGCTACACTGAAAACCAGAGGTGTATTCCTTCACTGGGAGGAATGGAAATTTGTAGGCACTGTTGCTCTTCGGCTCTGGCATGCTTAGGAATCTCAAATAGAGTCAGAAAATGGCTTTAGCTTGGGAAGCCACTGTTCTCCCAAATCTCTAATAATTTCAGGTTATTTACATTTATTTATCAAATTTCTCACATTGCTCCCATCACTGATGGGAGCCCCATTATGGTGTCAATATTTTTTTTCCTGGTATTAAAGTCACTTTCTTCTATTTCCAACCCACAGTAGTGTTTACAGTGTTACTTGGATTCATTCTACTCCATTGTTTCTTACAGGTTTTTCTTAAAGGTACACTTGGCTGTAGACCAGTATTTTGGACTGGTCCTAAAAAAATTGATTACTTAATATCACAGACTTACTAGACTTTCAAATAGTTGCTCAGATGTAGTTTAAGCAGCATGGGAATAAGAATAGTTTTTTGACACATGTTTATTAGTGGTAGTTTTGGTTTCATTCATCTGAAAACAATCCAATTTGCACAACCTGAGACTGCACTGCAATGAGAAACAAAGTGCAGGTAATGGGAATAAGCTGGAAATCTTTTCAGAAGAGCACTCCTTACCCAAAGTAAAATATAAATGTATTCCAGTTGCCACTAAAATATTTAAGCTGTTTTGATTTGCCAGTATCCAAATACAGGTTGTTAGGGTTTCTATGCTATAAGAATATGGAGTCTTAAACCAGTGCCTGGCTTCAAACTGTATTTGCAGCACTTCGTAATCACTTCACAGCCCTAACTTCTTCTTACCAGTGGCTTGAGGATGCAAATGATCATGAGAAGAGACTCATCCTTAAAAGAATAAAAACCTCTTAACTTCTAGTTTTATAGGAACAGTATAACAGCATGGTAAGAAACACTTCATATTAAGCATCTTATAAGATACTGACAAACAAGGTCATTTTTCCTAGAACATGGGAAGAATTATTGGCAGGATGGATATGTGACCATGAGGAAGCTACAGTGTCTGTAAGCGGTGCAGAGAACAGAACAGAGTTGCTGACCTGCTCTCTGTTTTTTAAAAGGAGGCACTTCTTGCTTAACCGGACTACTACTCTTATTTATTTAGGGTGCAATCTTAGTAGCATACCATCCTCCAGGTAAAGGGCTCTAGTACAGATACAGTTAAACCAATATAACATCCTTTTCTTGTACAGTTGTTTTTTTTTTTTGGGGGGGGGGGACCACTATAAATCCTATTGCCAAGATGCTTTCAAAACTAAATAAGCATTATATCATTAGGATTTTAGAGGTATAGCTGTACCACCAAAAATCTCTAATGTAAATCTGCCCTGTATCTGAGGATATAGACTATGTGAAACAATAAAAAACTACTCACTGTGTAGCCAAACTAAAACTAAGCCTAAAGAAAACCATGTATAGATAATTCTACTATTCCAATGCAGTTTTTTAATTTGAAGGTTTATGCAAACTAATCAGCTTACTGTCAGGTTGGTATTACAGTTAAGACTGTGTCAGTACTTCCATCATAACAAAATTTTGTGGTGTTTCTTGCTGAGATGGAAGTGCCTGCCTTGCACTGAGAATTTTTATATGAGCCCTGTCAGCCTTCTGGAAATTAAAAATGAAGCTGTGCAGAGAATTTAATAGAACTCACACTGTGTATTTTTTTCAAATATCTTTTTTTTTAGTTATCTGCTGTATTCTGTCCTCATCAAAGGTGATGAGCCTTATAGAGGGCAGCTCCAGACCTGCATTTTGTCTTATGAACCAGCTACATTAAGCACCAATGAAGTGCTAAAGGTATGAAAGCTTCTTTCTTGCAGGTCGGGTAGGCAAAAAGATAAATCGGAAGGGTTTTGAAGCAAGAAGGTATTATTACGGCATTATAAAGCCAGATATGCAGCAATACAGCCATGACAATTTATATCCTCTAAATATCTGGCCCATACATTCTAACTTTATTACAGGTAATACCTCAGTTTCAAAGGGATTACACTTCTGGAAAATCTTGCGGTAGATCTCCAATTGCAACATAAATAGGGTAAAAAAGGCACAGGCTAATAAGTAGGCACTCAGAAAAAGGGTTGGGGCAAACCTATTTTCAATGGTTCTGAATTAGTTTTCTACTATTTGTAATTTCAAACTAGAGAGCAGTATTGAAGTTTATCTGGCAAAGACCAGTTCCTGGCACTTTGGCCTCAGCTTAAGCAAGGTGGTGGGCAAGGCACAGTGGTCAAAGAAAAGTGAAAGATGTGTGAGAGAAATCCTCAGTGCTTCAGAGAAATGTATGTCCCTATCCTGCATAGAATACAGAGTTTATTAGTGAAATCTTTAATCAAGCCAACTTGCTGATTAACCATTTAAAAAAAATAACAACAACAACTTGGTAGCATTACCAGGACTTTTTGCCCTAAATGAGGCTCTGACAGTTTCTAGCTTGACCTCCTGTTTCCAGTGATCTACAGAAATGGGCTGAAACTTAGCAGATCAAAGTAGTGTCTAAGCTGCTTATCTTTAGTTTATAAACTCCTGCCTTCTTTGGGCTTACAGCAGTGCTTTTAGTGTTGGGTTGGGCATGGTTTTGGGTTGTTTTTTTTTTTTGAGGGAGATTTTTCTGCCACTTGTGATCTCTAAAATGTAGTAAAATAATAATATTTAACTCATGAGCAGCATTTCTTGCTGCTGTCACATTGGATGAAAATATTTCCAACAGTGCCTCTGTTACAATGACATAAGCATCTTGAAGTGCCAGAATGGTAAAACACCTTTCAGGGAACAGATCCAACACAGACACCCTCTGAGCTGGATCAGATCCATTTTCATTTAAATTTGACCTAAATAGCTGAACGCTCAAAAGGAACATACTCTAAAGGGATTACCACAAAATTAAATTGGAATAAGACAGGGTGGATTTTAAAACAAAATTTCTCTGATGGGGAAACACAAGCCTGTGCTAAACTGAATATAGGCTCAAGACAGTCTGAACCTCTGAGACGCCCCACAGTGACTCCAACCTTCCTATAGCTCCAGTGCTGGTTTCCCTTCATCCCGTGACAGTCATACAGTGTGACAGGGCTACTGTGTGAAATGGCGTCAAAGCAGAACTTCCTGGTGTGAAGTGGCTCCCCAGGGCGGATGTCTTCTCTCCAACCGAAGGTGAAGAGCTAGAAAAACAATCAGGCAATATAATGATACATTACTAGTGAAAAACATTTAAAACCACACACAAAGCTTGACGCATGTTTCCCTACTCCACACATCCCAGCTGCTGGTGAAATGAGATCTTGCCTGTGTACGTACGATTCAGTGATGCCAACTGCCTTAATTAAAGTGCATCAGCGGCGATGTGGAATATACCCCAGGAAGGCACAATCCCTATGGCAGGGAAGAAAAAAAAATCTCTGGCAGCACAGTACTGTAGAGAGGAGAGGGGATATGCTGTATTAAAGCCTTTAGTTACCCCAGCTAAAGCAGCACTCGTTTGCACCAGGACTACAGCTACCTAGGACTCAGAAAGCCTCTGCTAGTGATGTTCCTCTAGCTCTCATTTGGGTCTGAAGAAGCTGCCTAGAGAGATCTTGACATCATAGCATCTTTCCCACATTTAATGAACAGTTTCCTTCTGTTTATATGGGATACTGTTAGCATATGCTCTCTCGACTGTCTCCCCCCCGCCAAAACACACGTTAAATGATCTTCGTCTTTCTACTGCGAAACCTGTGAGCTACAGGCAGCTTGCTAAAGCCCTTTTTCTCACTGCCTGAGAGGAATCATGGAGGCTCACAGTTAATAGAGGAATCCTTCTAAATTAGACACCAGCTGTCTGAAATGATGCTGTGACACTGCAGTCTTTCAATCATTAGATGAAGGTGACAGGTCTGACAGCACCAAATTTAAAAGATGCAGAGTGCATTTTCCTTTCCCATGGACCAATCCTTGCAGAAAACAGGTTGCAGATTGTAAATTACTGCCTAGAAGCTCTGCTGAGAGCTGTGAGGTTTTTCTTTTTTTGCCTTTGTCTTTTTGGTGTCAGTGCTATTCTTTGGCTTTCTGCATGACTTTTGATTTTCCGTAGTATAAACCGAAACATGACATTGAGAAAGTGAAGCTCTGTTTAAACAAGCAAACTTTGCTAGTGGAAACTGTTTAGCTGTGATGGTTCATGTGGAACTGCACACAGGCTCATTACCCAGAGAAGCAGCTCCCCATATTGTGCTCAGACTGACTCCAGCACTGCAACTACTTCATCTCAGCGTCCTTATCTAGCACCCTGCTCCCTGCAGTGTGTACACTCCCTAATAGAACCAGTACCTACAAACCCAAGCTCAATGTCATGTGGGTCTGATCCTGAATACTTCTGTTGTGGTTCCCAGGTTTTAACCCTTTCACTGTGATAGCTATCTTCTTTCCATGGTCTTCCTAAAAGATACATCTTTTAAAATGCTGCATCTTCAATGCTCTACCATCCCCCAAATGCCACATTTGAGAGGCGTTCCTGTTTCCCTTGGCCTGCAGGCACAAAATACAAACATATATCTGCATATTTGCCTTTTTTGTTGTGTGTCTTATTGTAAGCCCTTGTGCTCTCTGTTAGCTGCTGCCGCTCCCTACTTACTTCTGTATTACAGGTTTTCTAGACAACATTTTCTTAATCTGCCCCTGTGTCTTGCTTATTTCTTCTTTCTCCCAGAGTGCATTTTACATTTATCTGCAGTAAAATGCAGTGGACAGCTTTAACTTAATTTTCAAAGCAATTTCTGCTTTTCAAAAGGTTAAGTCTTTTTCCACTTTTCTTCATGTTTCTTCGAAGCACCTTCATGGTCTCCCTACAAAGATAACTCATCATTTCACAAGCAAAGACAGAACTAAGATTTGGTACAGAAAAAAGCTACGCTGCTGTTTCTTTAGAAAAAGAGAAGTCTGAGATAATTTTCCTTTAGGGAAAAACCAACAAAAGCCATTTTCTTTCTCTTAGCCTTTACCTTTCTACAGCCAAGTAATAAACCTAGAGTTCAAAGTGATGAATAACAAATACCTAGAGGAATGGTGTGGAACAGTGGTTCTGTGATATTCTTGCTCTCATCACTACTACAAGAGAGAGATGCTCTTGCAGGACTTGCCTCGTCTTTCCCAGTGGGTGCCTCTCCCAGTTTCTCATTCTGTGCATGACTGGTGAGCTGAGGGGCCAATTCCTGTGGCTCTCTGGACCTTGGCCCAACGACTACTACCCCGCTGAATGCATCGGTACACCTGAAAGAGCTCAAGCTAGCCTTTAAATCAGATCATACTGATCCATACTGGCCTTTCCACTTCTGTGTGGTTTCTGAAGATGGCCAGGGCCGTGTCCTGTTTGAAAGTCAAGACGTGGTAACAGATAGGGGTTTTTTTATTCCCTTCCACTGAAAACTAGGATCTGTGTAATACTCGATTTCAAAGTTTAGACTAGCACAGATTCTTTTTCCTCCTTCTTAGCCTCCCGTTTTGTAAAACAGTTTCATTTTTAAAACAACAAGTACGTCTTCTCCCTAGTAATACTATTATAAAATCAACGTTGTTAGGGGGAGGAACTCAGTTTCAGGACTAAGAGAGAGAAGAGAAAAAAAATTGATCAGAAAAAAGGTTGTACTTCTCTATACAGCCAATTAATATTAAGATCTTGTAATTACAGGCAAAATTTGAAGGTTTACAGTCCCAATCTCATCATTCTAAGCTATCCTCCATTATACAGCAAATTCTCTCTAGTGAACACTAGATCTGGCCAATATAAAAATTATCTCTCTGCTGCATAATGTGCAACAATGCTACACGTTATTAGCTGAAGTCCTGTGTACATAATGCTCTGCTTTGCCACCACCTGTCACTTTGGATTTTCTTGTTCCTTTGACCTAAGCTGTTAGGAGCCACCTGCATCAGATTTTGCGAGAAATGGACAAACCCTTTTGTACCCCTTCATTCATTCCTGTCTGCTTGTTGATTTGAAACAAGGCTGCACTTAAATCTTAACAACATTATTAACAAACAGCAGGCTGGTTCTTCACCTGCAACCCGCAGGGCTGCTGTTCACTGCTCCTTGCAGGACCCAAGAAACCCTCTGTCCTGGCTCAGCGGATGCTCATTCTCCTCCACCACCTTCTCTCATACCACAGAGCTTGTAAAAGACAGCCCCATCCTCTGCATTTGCAACCAAGCAACCCCTCTGCCCTCGTGCTTTAGCTTTTCATGCAGCCTAGCCCTGTCACGCAGTAACTAGGGAAAATACAGCTTTCCAGCTTCATTTATAATTGGCACAGGGCCTGAAGCATGATTGCCTGATACACCCATTGGCTTGCGACCATCTATAGGACAAAGGACCTTTTGATACCATTAATGCTTTCCAGCCTGACAACGTTGCTCAATTACTCGCTTCCTGGCTGGGGTCCGTCAGCTGGCGTTGTGTGCTTTGACTACGGCGTTAGACTGGAGCAGACAGCATGTGCCGTGCACAAAGATGAAACGCTGTGTTTCGGAACTGGGGTCCAACTCGCACTGTACCTCCAAGTAGAGAAGAGCGAGCTGGGCAGGCTGCACGGCTACTTGCTGGGCTGTGTTAGAGATGATGCCTGTCCACCTACGCCCTGGCCAGGCTGGGGGACTTGAGGAGAAAGACAAATGCCTGTCATTTTCCTTTGCTGCTGGTTATCAGTTCAGCGGAGTCCCAGTTTCCCCTGAAGCCAGAAGTTAGCTCTGGGAAGACAGAGGTAGAAGAATGCCATGCCATGCCACGCCATCCTCCTGCCCCTTTCCTTCCCCTCTGGTTTTTAATTTTGGGGAAGTTTCCAGAAACCGCAGCAACACTCATCCTTGCTTCTCCTGTTCAGCAGAAAGCCTGCAAGTGCCCCATGAACCTTTTGTCTGCTGTTTGCCTGCCGGGGCTTATACAGCCCTGGGGTGGAAGGTCTCCTTCTTCTCCTGGGGACTGCTAAAGGTCTGTGCCCCCCCAGCACAGCTGCTGAGACTGTCAGCTTTTAATTCCTGCCCTGGTAACGTGACATGGATCAAATGGCACAAAGAATCGTATCTCTGTCTAGCGGCAGCATCACCACTAATGCCCGCTGCACTGGTCACATCAAACTACTATAGTTTGCCAGTGAACTCTCTGTAAAATTATGCCAGACGTTAAAAGACTAGCTCAGTGTCAATCCATGCTATTTGAAATACGGTAATAAAATGCTTGATATTTTCATTAATACTGCTAGTTTCTACTGGCATAGGTAGAAATCATGTAGGCAACAAACTCAAGAAGATATAAGCAATAAAGAGGAGTTCTCTGAGGGTTGGTCAGGTGTTCGGCAGTTCATCCCAAACATTCTTTAACAAAGTTAATCTTCATGGCTTACTGTGGTGCAAGTGGAAGATCACACCCTTTCTTCTTGGATGTTTGAGATGTTTCATTAGAGTGTGGTCTTACACGCACTATAGGTAACGTTCCTGCCTGGGCAGCCTTTGGGATCAAGTAAGGAGAGCTCGCTGAGAAATTTCCATCAAAATATACCAACCTAAACCACACTTTTGTGGGAATTTTTTCACTTCTGTTGACTGTCACCAACATAGTGACAGATTTTGCTTGCCAGGTTGGAAGCTGAGATTTTTGCGCTGCAGGTTCCTGGGGAGCTACAGGGCATGGAGGCGATGGCTGTGGCTGGAGTAGTGGAAGCCCAGGTCCTAAAACAGTGCATATGGTCCCTGCCCTGTGAGCTGTGTGAAACTTCAGGAAAAAGGGGGAAAAGGATGCTATCTTGTTTCTGAAAAAAATCCCCCAAGTCCTGCATCACCAAAATGTTTTGACCTTCTGAAATGAAACATTTTCAGAATTTGCTTTCTAGGGGAAAACGGAAAGTTCTCCTCTGGATGAAATATTTTGCACATTGTATCCCATTTCCTATGGGATAGAAATGCTGAGTTTCAGCCAGGTCTCCTATCTTGATTTGGTAATTCTTTCCTTTCTTTCTCAGCTGGTATCTTTAAAATCTGTACCTTGCACAAACTCACCCTTGAAATCTATCAGCCAGATGAACGTGCCTCGTAACAGGAGTCTGAAATACTTGAGTAAAATTAGTTTTGTTTTGTTTCAAAACTAATCCAGAAACCAACAGGATATTACCACTACTGAAATCATGCAAATAAAAAGATGCCCAGCAATACAGTAGCAGATATTATGCCAGGTCCTTCTACATTATGCCAGGTCCTTATCTGGTAAGGTACAACACAAAATAATCCTCTAAAATTTCTGTTTTCTAGTTTTAGAAAATAAGGTTCCTTTCCAGGAGAAAGTGAAATTACATTTATTTATTATAATAAATTCCCTTATTTTTTTTTATATATATATAATTTTTACACATATATCCACAGATATATCGATAAATGGATCATAATAGTATTTATTTATCACCGCGGTTGTCTTCTAAAGATTCTCTAACACTTCTCGCTAGGATTTTGGCTGACAGGCGGATAAACCACGGGTAGCTACGCTCCTGTCAGAGGGAAGAACAACCTGCGAGCGCAGCGCTCCCTCCTAGAGGAAAAAAAACCCAAACCAAACCAAGCCAACCAAAACCCCCCAACCCCCAGGAACCGAACCGAGAGGGGCTGAGGGCCGAGGAGCCGAAGCGCCGGTCGCTCAGGGAGCCGGCCCCGCTGCCGCCGTCACTCCGGTTGTGCGGAGCTGCCCTCTGCCGCC